AAGGAAAATATCTTTAAAATATGAACTTGTTAGTTTTTAACAGGATACTACTATAACTTTCCATCTTCCTTCCATCAGTTTTGCAATATGTTTTTACAAGAGGAAGGAAACAAATGTCTTTCCTACCATATTAAGATGGAAAACCATGACTCAGATGATTGAAAATCTCCATAGATATTATAGTACAGTTAAACATAAAGAATAGGCCAAACCTCTATATTAAAATCAGAACTATTGGACTTTTCCTTAAATATCATGCCTGCTTATATCTATTAAAATATGTATAAAATATTACTCCAAGTTATTCCCTTACAATAGCTGCAATTATTCTTTCCAAGCATCCAGGTATTTTTTACTTTAAAGTGGAAAATAGACTGGTAGAATTCTGTTAAGAAAATAAAACTTCACAGCAAAAACATTTTTTCAACAATAAATAATAAATTCTATACATGGACATCAATAGATGGACAACAGCAAAATCTATATTTTCTTTAAACATAAATGGAAAAGCTCTATTCACAAATCAAAAAGAGAACTTTGTGTCTGACTCAGACCATTAACTCTTGCAAAAATATGACTCAATATCAATCAAGCAAAAATATCCTAAAATGCAAAAAGCAAAAATGACATATGTACTGATAAAATGAAAATGACAGAAGGAAAGAAAAAAAGAAACAGAGGAAAATGTGTCCAGCTAAATCTTGAGTTCCAGAGTCCCAAGAAAAGGCAAGGAATTATAGATGAATATTCAAATAAACAGAAGATAACAATCAAAGAAGGATAGGAAAATTACAGAAACCAAGATATATGCAAAGGATGGGTATAACAGAAGAAAAATGAAGGCAAAGATGTGCTGATAAAAGAAGACATCTAGAACTTAAAGACTAGAGTGTAGACTACCATCAGGTAAACAGCTATCGCTTGCAAAGACCCAGATTCTTCAAAGTCTCTAGTCGTTTAACTTTTGGAGATGATTTCCGCCCCCCCCCCCTCCAGTTCAATGCAAAAAGTTGTTTATCCGGGCTGGTGGGATCCTGGAGAAGATCCTTCTCTGGAACATCTTGGCCCCGATATGAGGTTGACCCAAATCCTATCCTTTCGTAAGGGCCTCAAGAACTTAGCTTGGGGTACCAATGGAGGAGCAGCACAGTGGAGTGCTTAAGTAACAGCAGATCCCACCTCCTCCACTGTGCCTCTGCCCTCCCCATNGGAAAATCTCTTCCTAAATATCTCCCTGGAGGAGGCAGAGCGTCATCAGGAGCCGCTTGAGTCAGGAAAGAAAGTGCAGGTAGCTCTCGACTTAGGATCACCATGGAGGCCAAGGTTTCTTGTCGCTAAGCCAGACGTTTGTTGAGTGAGTTTTGGTTAAGCAAGACATTTGTTGAAAGTGAGTGAGTGGTCCCGTTTTAGGACCTTTCTTGCTGCATTTGGGAAGCCAAACACTGTACAGGTAGTCCTCGACTTACAACCACCATGGAGTCCAAGGTTTCCATCGTTAAGTGAGACGTTTGTTGAGTGAGTTTTGGTTATACAAGATGTTTGTTGAATGAGTTTTATCCCATTTTACGACCTTTGGGAAGTGAATCACTGTACAGTTAGTCCTCAACTTATGACCACAATTGAGCCCAATATTTCTGTTGTTAAGTGAGTCATTCCTGAAGGGGGGGTTGCTCCATGTTACGATATTGCTTGCCACAGTGGTTAAGTGAATCAACTGCAAGTTGACAAGTTGGTAATATGCTTGTTAAGTGAAATTCATGAGCCAGGGATGCTGCAATGGTCATAAGTATGAACCAGTTGCCAAGCATCTGAATTGTGATCACATTGTTGAGGGGATGCTGCAAAGTGCCGTCGTAATTTTGAATAGTCACTAAATGAAAGGACTACCTGTATCCACTGACTAATGCTTTTCCTTCAGCCAAAGGAACTGCATGGGCTGCCGGCAGAGACGGACCTCCCCTTTATGAATGATGCCCCATGGAGGAATGTGAAGGATCTTCAGGATGCCCTGCGGGAAACGACCAGGAGGAAGATGGGTGTTCAATCATCCAGCTGGTGGGACCAGGGACCCCGGAAGATGTGCAGCCATCTCCACCAACTTTGCCGCCAGTGGTTGCAGCCGGAAAAACACACAAAGGGACAGATGTTGGACCTGGTGATCCTGGAGCAGTTCCTGGCTCTTCTGCCCCCAGAGATGGAGAGCTGGGTGCGGGAATGTGGAGCAGAGACCAGCTCCCAGGCAGTGGCCTTGGCTGAAGGATTTCTCCTGAGCCAGGCAGAAGAGCAGAAGAAGCAGGGGGAGATGCAGGTGAGAAATCATCACCTGGCAAGTCAGAAATGGAAGTGGAATTTTTACAGGCTCCTTAACAGGTTTGTGAAAATACTTAGGAGATGTTGAACTCTGAGTCAATCAGAATAGAGTTGGAAGGAACCTTGGAGGCCTTCTAGTCTAGCCCTCTGCCCAATCAGGAGACCCCATCCCATTTCAGACCAGTAACTGTCCAGTCTCTTCTTAAAAACCTCCAGTGATGAAGCACCTAGAACTTCTCATGGCCAGCTGTCCCACTGGTTAATTGTCCTTGCTGTTAGGAAGTTTCTCCTTAATTATAGGTTGTTTCTCTCCTTAATTAGTTTCCATCCTTGTTTCTTGTCCTGCCTTCAGTTGACTCCCTCCTCGTTGTGGCAACCTCTCAAATACTGCTATCATGTTCACCCTTTTGTCCTTTTGTCTCTAGACTAGCCAAACCCAAATCCTGCAGCTTTCAGGCCTTTAATCATTTTATTTGCCCTTTGCATTTTTTCCAAAATCTCAACATTTTTTTTTGTAATGTGACCAAAACTGTCTGAAGTCAGCTCCGTGGTAATGTGGCCAGAGTGATTAAACACTGAAGGTGCACGGAACAGTGTTACCTGCCCACCAAAGGTGGCTTCAGTTTGTCTACTTCCATTTTTACATGCTTTCGAACTGCTAGGTTGGCAGAAGCTGGGACAAGTAACAGGAGCTCACTCCGTTACACGGCACTAAGGATTCGAACCACCAAACTGCCAACTTTTCTGATCGACAAACTCAGCCACTGAGCCACCGTATATAAAGCCACTTTATAAAGTGGCACTAATACTTCACGTGATTTTGATTCTATGCCTCTGTTTATACAACCAAGGATTGTATTAGGTTGTTTTGGCTGCTGCCACACACCGCTGGCTCATATTTTTGAGCTGGCTGTAAGAATATGCTCCTTGTTCATAAATTCTCTTACTTGTATTTTTTTTCCTGGTCTATCAGTTGCAAAGACTCAACTTGAAGTCTGAGAATCCAGAGGAAAGAAGGAATTGGCCCGATCATTCCGGGGACCCACTCTTCAGTGGGATCTTCCATGAAGATCCAAGTCGGAGCACCTTATCAGGTAAGAAGGTTCATTGGAAAGAATGGATTTTTTCCCTGATTCTCTGGGCCCTGTTTTGTATAATACTCGCCCAAATTTATTAACTATGTTTCCAAAAATTCTGCGTATGTCATTTTTTCCTCACAGGGCATGGAAAATCTGCATTCATGGGTTCTTCTGTTTCTAGTGCAGTTGAAGAGCCACTTGAACACCGAACTCAGGTAGGAGAGGAAACGTCAGTTAAGATATAAGCTTCAGTTGGAGGTCTCGTTCAATTGACTACATATGATATTGGCTCAGTGTCATCTAAATATTGGTGGCATCCAAAAAAAATTTAAGAGCTGTCCCTGCACTCTTCTGAAGGGCAAAATTGATCCATTAGGACCCCTAGTCCATTGGCTAAAATGTTATGGAAGGTCCCATCAGTGCATTCTGCTGCAAATGTCCAGATTAGAAGCTGTGATGATGTTAGTTAGTGTCTGACCCATTGCAACCCCATGGACAATGTTCCTTCAGGCCTTCCTGTCCTCTACCGTCCCCCAGAGTCCATTTAAGCTCACGCCGACTGCTTCAGTGACTCCATCCAGCCACCTCATTCTCTGTCGTCCCCTACTTCTTTTGTCCTCAATTTTTCCCAGCATTAGGCTCTTCTCCAGTGAGTCCTTCTTTCTCATTTGGTGGCCAAAGTATTTGAGTTTCATCTGGCCTTCTAAAGAACAGTCAGGTTTGATCTCCTCTAGGACTCACCGGTTTGATCGCCTTGGAGACCAAGGGACTCGCAGGAGTCTTCTCCGGCTCTGTTTTTTAGTATGCTCTCTAGATTTGCCGTAGCTTTCCTCCTCAGGAGCAAGCATCTTTTAATTTCTTGACAAGCTCTGATAGTCCTACCTGATTTGTTGAGGAAAGATGTCTATGGAGATTCTCATCCAAAAGAATGGTTGTCCCAAAGAGTCATGGTTGTCCCAAAGATACTTTTTCAAGAGGCAACTGGACTTTCTGTTGCAATAAATCAATGGCCTTTTCCTTGTAACTGTTGGTGGGGTCTTTTTTCAGAATCTCATATGTAGCCGTGTCCTTCAGAAGATTGTTCAGCTAGGTCCTAGGCCTTGTAGCCATCTATGTTCAGGATGACTGTGCATCTTCCTTTATCAGCATGGCAGGAGGGTGATGTTTGGGTCTCTTCCTTGAGATGTCACTACTCTCCTTTCTTGAATGGTGAGATTGGAAGCCGGTGTTTTGACCCTGGCGAGGGCTGCATCTACCTTCCTCCTTAATTATTCTGCTTCTGGTTCTGCTAGTTTATTGCTCCTGATGGCTGACTTTGTGGCTATGGGGAGCTGTACAATTGGTACCTGTTCTGGTGTTACTAAAAAATTTGGTCCTTTCACCAAAACATTATTTTCTGTTTGGGTAAGCTGTCTGCCAGACAGTTGTAGAATAGCATAGCATAGAATTCTTTATTGGCCAAGTGTGATTGGACACACAAGGAATTTGTCTTTGGTGCATATGCTCTCAGTGTACATAAGGAGAATGAAATACATTCTCCATACACAACACTTAGTGATAGTCAAGGTTACTAATAAGTTATCAAATCATATTAGTAAACAAATAAAACAATATACATTGAAAGATACAAGCACTATGGATATAGTCATAAGTGTGAAGATACAGATACTAGGAAGAGAAGAATAATAGTAATACATTCTTAGTAAATTATTGACAGAGTTGTGGGAATTAGTTGTTAAGCAGAGTGATGGCATTTGGGGGAAAACTGTTCTTGTGTCTACTTGTTCTGGTGTGCAGTGCCCTATAGCATCATTTTGAGGGCAGAAGTTGAAACAATTTATGTCCAGGATGAGAGAGGTCTGCTTATATTTTCACAGCCCTCTTGACTCATGCAGTATACAGGTCCTCAATGGAAAGCAGATTGGTAACAATTGTTTTTTCTGCAATTCTAATTATCTCACCCATCTGTCAGCTTTCTGAGACATGTCCCTGACCATCTGGGTTGGTTTTTCTGTTTTGTGTGCTTTTTCCCTGTCTAAGCTGTAGGGTAGAAAAAATGCCTTTTTGTCATTCTTTGTTCTTATTGTGTTGTGTTAGTTGTGCCTTCTTTATAAATTCTGTGACTAGAAAGTCCAGGTTGCCTTTTGAAAACGTACATTTGGGACGTTGAGGAAAGATATTTCATTTGCCTTCAACATCTTCATCATCAAATTCTCTCCACATTAACATTTCCTCTTTTTTATATCTCCTCCATTTAACTTCTGTTTCTATTAATCATTGATAAAATACATCCCACATCAGAAAATATTCTGTTTCTTCTTTATCCTTAATAATAAGTGTTAATGTATCAATTTCTGCACATTCTAATATTTTCTTAATTATACTCTCATCTGACAATATCTCATCATTTTTCCATTATTGCACAAATACAATTCTAGCTGCAGTTAATACATGTAAAAATAGATATATAGCCTTTTTATCATATTTTTCTGGTAGATAACCAACAAAAACATCCCTTTTAAGTCAAGGCCTATCCGTAAACATCTCCAGATGTGGATGATTGCGAACTGAAGCCTAATTGAAACAGATCTAAAGAATCCACTTCCTCAGATAATTTGTTTCTTCTACCAATGTTACATCAGTCAAATGCTCTGAGCTCCAACAGGTTTTTTTTACATCAGATTTTTAACCCTGCAGAAGATTCCTGTTTAACCCACTACAAATCTTTGTTTTGAGATTCTTGAACCAAAAGGAGAGAATTTGCAAATGCAACTGGTTTGCTCATAGGGGTATGATTTTTTCCCCCAGGTTCTTGTCTCTCTAGAGGAGGTGGCTGTGTGTTTCTCTGAGGAGGAATGGTCTCGGTTAGATCCTGCTCAGAAAGCCCTGTACAGAGACGTCATGTTGGAAAACTCCAGAAATGTGGCCTTTTTGGGTAAGGCCCCCTTGCCCTGTCTTTTGATGCTTAGAAGAAATATTTTACTGATAGATAGAGCCAGTCATTTTTCTTCTTTCAGTTAACAAACAACCTCACCTGTCTAGGTAAAGGAAGGAATCAGTCAATTTATGGGTAACACGTTGATTTAATGGCACTCCCTGTTTTGACTTTAAACTCCAGATAGACTTTGATGACAACTGAGCCTAAAACTTCCATTCCTAAGCAAGACAATTAATTTTGCCTCATTTTACGACCTTTCTAGCCACTGTTACTGTGAATCATTGCAGTTTTTAAGTTAGTAACATGGTTGTTAAGTGAATCCGGCTTCCCCATTGACTTTTCTTGTCAGAAGGTCACAAAAAGTGATCTGTGATCCCCAGACACTGCAACCATCATAAATACATGCTAGTTGCCAAGCGTCTGAATTATGATCATGTGATCACAGGGATGCCGTAATAGTTGTGTGAAAAACAGTAATAAGCCAGCATCGAGGATGCACCTGTAGAGGTGGTTGACAGTATTAAATATCTGGACGGGGAGACAAATAACTAACAATCTGAGTTGGTCTCTCCAGACCAAATTAGTGAAGCATGCAAACCAGCATTTGCATTTCCTGTGTCAGATAAGGAGAGTGCATCTTTCTCCTTCTGTCCTGGCCACTTTTTACAGAGGCATGTTTGAGAGCATTTTAATACACTGCATCACTGTTTGGTTTCGTTGCAGCAGTGCCTCAGATGGAAAGTCCATACAGAGAATGGTGAGGACAGTCGAGAAGATTATAGGAAGCTTGCTTCCCGTTACTCAGGATACTGCTTATAAGCGCTTTGTGCTTAGAGCTCATAGCATTGTTAGAGACCTCACACATTCACTTTATGGTCTGTTTCTGTTGCTCCTCTCTGGGAGGAGGTTCAAAGTATTTTTAGCAGGAATACCACATTCTATAACAGCTTTGTTCCCTTTGCCGTCCCGCCTGGTAAACTCAGATTATTCATTTTTCTTGCCATAAATATGTACCGTATTTTTTGCACTATAAGATGCATCGGGCCTTAAGACGCACCTAGGTTTAGAGGAGGAAAACAAGACAATTTTTTTTTCTCTGCACATTCCATTTTCGGCCTCCCTTGCCCCCAGAAGCACTGCAGGCCAAATGCGGGCCTGATTTTGGCCTCCCAAACCTTCCGTGTGTCCTGTTTTCAGCCTCCCTGGTCCCCAGAAGCACTCTGCAGGCCACAACTGGGCCTGTCTTTGGCCTCTAGAGGCTTCTTCAGATCCTGTTTTTGTCCTCCCTGGCATCCAGAAGCACTCTGCAGGCCAAAAACAGGATCTGTGGAGGCCAAAAACAGGCCCATATTCACTCTATAAGATGCACAGACATTTCCACCCACATTTATTTTTTGGGGGGGGGTGCATCTTATAGTCTGAAAAATATGGTATACATCTGAACTAGACTCTGCTGTTTCTCTGTGTAATATTACATATGTGGGTATATACATAATTTTGAATTTATTTATTTGTTTATTTGTTTGTCATGTTTATGTAGCATAATATTGAAGGCGGTGACTCTTTAAGAGCTGTATGCAATGAAATTTCATTTTTAATGTATGCCAGTTAGTGTACATTCAAAGTGACTATAAAGTTATTCTATTCTGTCCTGTCCTGTCCTGTCCTATCCTATCCTATCCTATCCTATCCTATCCTACTCTACTCGTCACTTTTTAGTGCTGTTGTAACTTCAAATGGTCACTAAACAAATGGTTGTAAGTTGAGGACTGCCTATATATTCCTTTTTCCTGGTTAATAGGCGTTTCAAGTTACGCAAACAAATTAGACCATTTAGCACATCTCCTTGCTCTCATTCTCCCCCTTTTTCACCTCTACTATAACTACTACAAGCTTCTTTCCCAATTCCTTATTTCCTTAAATGGAAGTCCCTCTTCCATTTAAGTAATAAATAAATTAAGCACATTTATTGAGACCAACAGAGCAGATGTGGCCCTTTACTTAAAAAAATAGATTTTGTGAGTTTAAGAAGCTCATAAAATAGAAGTGGTCCATTTCATACTGTGCAGTTTTACAGGTAATCCTCGACTTACAACAGTTCATTTAGTGACCGGTGGAAGTTACAGTGGCACTGAAAAATGTGATTTATGACCATTTTTCATACTTATGACTGTCCTAGCTTCCTCATGGTCCCGTGATTGACAACTCACATTTTTTTACATATGTTTTTTTCTTTTTAACTATAAGTAGCTACATTTTCAATATCCATATTGACAGTGTGTTGTCTGATTACAATTACTTTCAGCAAATCTTCATCCTGTTTGTAATAATATTCTTCAGTAATAGTCCTGTAATAACAATGCTTTCTTGTCATAAAATTAATACATATTCATTATTAATACTAATCAAAGTTAATAACAATGTAATCAGCCCTCATAATAAAACTAATCCTTCTCTTGTGGTTTTAAAGGTTCTAACTTAAGTTTCTATTGTTTAACCATAGATAAAACGAATCCCATATTTCAAAATATTCAGTGTCTTCCTTTTCCTTAATTTCAAGTGTTAACAGTTAATCTGTTCATTTCTGCTCATTCTAATATCTTTTTTATTATCTTCTCTTCTGTAGGGATCTCCTCACCCTTTCAATATTGTGCAAATACAATTCTGGCTGCTGTTAACACATGTAATATTAAATACATATTCCCTTTACCATATTTTTCTGGTATGATACTCAACAAGAATATTTCTGGTTTTAGATCTATATGTTTCTTTATCATTTTTTTCTATCTGTATGTATTTTTGTCCAATACATTTTTGACTTTGGGCACATCTACCACATATGGTAGCATGACCCTGTAATCTGGTTACACTTCCAACATTTAACGGACATATATTTGAATATCTTGGCTAATCTAGCCGGTGGGAAATGCCATCTATAAAACATTTTATATATGTTTTGCTTATATTTTGTAGACATTATTAATTTATAGTTTCTATCCCACAATTTTTGCCATTTATCTAATTCTATAGAGCAGTGGCGGCGAACCTATGGCATGCGTGTCAGAGGTGGTACACAGAGCCCTCTCTGCGGGCATGCATCGCCGCGCCAAGTTGCTTTCTGGCCAAAAGCAGACTTCCCACTTACAAAATGGGAGGGAAAAAATGGACTACTTGACTGCCGTCACCGATCTCCCGGACCACGTGGCCCAGGCCCAGCTGCTCCCGGACTTCACCCGCTTTGCCGTTGCCGATCTCCTGGACCACATGGCCCAGGCCCAGCTGCTCCCGGACTATGGCCACTGCTCCTGGACCATGGCTACTGCTCCTGGGCCTCGCCCCCTTGCCTGCCATCGCTGATTGGGCCCAGCTGCTCCTGCTGTCGCCGATTGGGCCCAGCTGCTCCTGCTGTCACTGATCGAGCTCAGCTGCTCCCAGACCTCACCCACTTTGCTGTCGCCAATGTCCCGGACAATGTGGCCCAGGCCCAGTTGCTCCTGGATCTCACCTGCTGCTCCCAGACCTCACCCACTATTCCCAGACCTCGTCCACTGTTCCCAGACCTCGCCCGCTGCTCCCAGATCTCATCTACTGCTCCCAGACCTCACCCGCTTCCCTTCCATCACCCAGCTGCTCCTGCTTTCACCGATCGGGCCCAGCTGTTCCCGGACCTTGCCCGCTTCCCTGCCATCGCTGAAATTGCTTACAGGGTAAGTACAGGGACTGTGTGACTGTGGCTAGTCAGTGGAACATTGCCCCCTTGGGCTGGTGGTCAGCAAATTCAAATGGAACCCTAGCTGAGAATCATTGCCATAGATTGTTGATTCAGGGAATATCAATTTTGTTAGTGTTAACTAATAGTGTTAGCTATTTTTAGTATGGGGGAGATTTGTCCTGGATGCTTCATTTTTTTAAAAATTTTGTGTTTTTGTAGACTCCAAGTCTTGAATACCCAGAAATGAGCGCAGCAAAAAAAGCAGGTAGTGGAAGATCATTCCGAGAGGCCTGGACAGAGTCATTTGGAATGATTGAACACAATGGGAAAGCGTTATGTACTTTGTGCAAAGAAAGTGTTGTGTGTCGTACATCAAGTGTCAAGCGGCACTTTAACACCAACCACAAAAGCGTTGCCGAACTTGGTGCAACTGAAAGAAAAGAGTTTCTTGAAGGGAAATTGAGGAACTATCATTTGCAGTCTCCTAGTTTTTCCGACTTTCTTTCTAAAAAAAATCATCTGACAGCTGCCAGTTTTCAAATTTCACTGTGCATAGCAAAACATGGTAAGACCCTCTCTGATGGAGATATTATCAAGACGGCCATGTTGTCTAAGTGTAATTCCCTTTTTCATGATTTCCCAAACAGGGATAAAATTGTTAAACGCATCTCTGAGGTGCCACTTAGCAGGAATACTGTTAAAGATCGAGTCCAGCGCATGGCAAGTGATGTTAATCAGCAGCTCACCACTGACTTACAAAAGGCAGCCTGTTACTCCATGTGCTTGGATGAAAGTACAGATGTAAATAATCATGCAAGGCTAATAATAATTTTGCGTTATGCTGTTGGTGACATCATGAGAGAAGAGCTGGTGAAACTGGTGTCTTTGCCTGAAAGAACACAAGGGATAGATATCTACAAAGCTGTGATGGAGGCTTTTCTGTCACAAGGCATAAGACCAGAAAAAGTGGTTTCAATTACTAGTGATGGGGCCCCTTCTATGGTGGGGGCAACATCTGGTTTCATACAGTTGTTTGTTAAAGAAATGAAGCATAAAGTCATTCAGTTCCATTGTATTATACATCAGGAAGCTCTTTGCGACAGGGAAAGCAGCAAAAGAATTGACGATGTTCTCAAAGTTGTCACAAAAATGGTGAATTATATCATGTCTCATGGTCTGAATTTTCCACAGTTTCAAGTACTTCTTGAGGAGGTTCAGGCACAATATAATGGTTTGTTTATGCACAACAATATCCGGTGGCTGAGCAGAGGACGAGTCCTGGAGAGATTTGTAGCCTGCTTGGATGGAATTAGGCTGTTTATGAATGAAAAAGGGCGGGAATGTCCACAGCTCACTGATATGGCCTGGCTTACCAACCTCATGTTTTTTACAGATTTTACAGTACACTTCCATGTACTGAATGAGCAACTACAAGGTGTAGGGAAAACAGCAGAAAGGATGTTTTGTGATATCAAAACATTTGAAAGAAAACTGCAGGTTTTTGAAAGAGACCTTGAAAGTGGGCAGCTGAAATATTTTCCAAATCTAAAAATATATTTAGAAAATTCTACAACATTTGCAGACAATCCTACAAGCCATCAGGAAATCTACAAGGAATTTTCTAGCATTGTAGCAGCTGCAAAGGTGGGTTTTACTAACAGGTTTTTAGAGTTCCGTAAAATGGAGACAACCCTGTGTTTTCTTACTTCTCCAGATAAAGTCAAATTTGAAGAACTTGATCTTTCCTGCTTACACTGGTTAGATTTAGAAAATCTGGAAATGGAGCTATTGGAATTTCAAGAAAGCTCTATGTGGAAAAATAAATTCTGTGACCTGCGTGAAACACTTGAGAAGATGGAAAGGATGACACAGGACAGCATAGTTACTTCTGACACAGTCAGTTCTGAAAATGAAATTCTTAAAGTGTGGAATTCTCTGCCAAATAATTTTAACTCAATGAAAACACTTGGGATTGCTTTCCTTACCTTGTTTGGGTCATCTTATGCTTGTGAGCAGCTGTTTTCAGCTTTGAATTATATCAAACCTGACGCCAGAAACAAACTAACAGATGACCTGGCTGCTGCATGTATGGCTCTCAAACTTACAAAGTATGAGCCAAGGTTAGAAAAATTATCAGCATGCATACAACAGCAAAAGTCACATTAATCAAAAGCATGACAAATGCAAACTTTTACCTTTTGATAAAAAGTTGTTTGTATCATTGAAAGCTGTTATTGTGGTTTTTTTTAAATAAATAAAATAAGTGGGGTTTGAGTTGCAGTTTGGGCACTCGGTCTCTAAAAGATTTGCCATCACTGGACTAGTGTCTAAACTTACAGATGTTGGGCTTCCTTATTCAATCTGCCTGTCAGATTAGGTAATCATATCTCTTCAATTCTTATTCTTAACACTGGAACACCACAGGGTTGCGTGTTGCGTCCCTTATTCTATACCAGTAATGGCTAACCTTTTTGTTGTCGTGTGCCAAAAGCATATGTACACACCCATAATGCAATGCATGCACAACCCCCCTGTGTGCCCTGCCCCCCTGTGCATGCATGCAAAAGCCCCCAAGCCCTACGCACATGCTCACATGAATCCCCCGCACATGCGTGTGTCTCGTGCTTGCAGAGAGGGCTCTGCATGACACCTGTGGCACGCCATAGGTTCACCATCACGGCACTAGTCTATGTGATAGAATTGTGTTAAACGCAGAGTTAAAATCTACAAAAAGCATCCTCACATACCCCATCCCTCTTGTCCAAATGAGTCATAGCAATGTGAAGAGTAGTGGCTATGGCATCCTCTGTAGATCTATTTGTTCTTTATGCAAACTGATGTTTATCAAATGTATGTGGAAGACCAGAAATGTGCCAGCAGACCAATTTCTCAAAGCACTCCAGGATGATAGGAGTGGGTGCTGCTGGTCTGTAGTTGTTGAGGTTATTGATAGGGAACTTCTTTGGCAGCGGAACAATGATGGAAGCCTTCAAACACAATGGACTAGTGGACTGAGATAAAGACTGATTGAAGATCCTAGTAAAGACTCCAGCCAACTGATCAGCACAGTCTTTAAGCATTTGGCCAGAGATACCATCAGGACCAGTAGCCTTTCTAGAGTCCACAGCTCTCAAAATGCTCCTCACCTCCTGTTCCTCCACCATGAGGTGGGGGTTACAATGGGCTGGTGGCTGTATTTTAGCTGTGTTTGATGTCTCCACTTCAAAGTGAGCAAAGAAATAATTCAACTCCTCTGCTAATGAAGCGTCCCCCTCAGCAGGGATGACATTGGTCAGTTGGTGGTGGGTAATTTGTTGAATCCCTTGCCACACCTGCCTCATGTTATTACTATCAAATTGATATATCGGTGTATTCCACCCCCTCAAGGTACCCTTTTTAACCAGTAGATCTCTTCTCCCACTTTCCCCCACCCCTTTAAGTTATCAATCAAGTTCACTGTTCTTTAACTTTAACTTTAGTTTTGAATTAAACACAGTCTGTCTAAATTATCCAATCCATTTCTTCAGTGTTCTTTTTAATTCCGTTATTTTTCTTGTAGCGAATAGTATTTCCACAAGGCCCACAAAATTCTCAATAAATATAAGTCACCTGTCTAGCAGATGTAAGAACCATCCACTTAGCTTCAAGATAAATCCAAGTTTCACACTGCTTAGCATATTTATAATTCAGAAAGTCTCAGTCACAGATTTCTATAGTTTTCTGAGTCTTCATTATCTGTTTCCAAATGTTCAATGTAAGCAATATGCAGGTGTTATTTCACAAGTCGGCAACCAATTGAGCTTATCAGTTCAGTTTAGTTTTAAGCAAACCCAAATAATTTGCTTTTCACAAAACAAATCCAAGGTCTTTGCCCAGATTCCACCAGTAGATGGCGTCCTTACTTTATTTCTCCACTATCATCCAAGTTTCACTTCAAAAACTTCCATGTACCCAATGTTAATTTTTTCAAAATTTCAGTACTCAGGAAAGTATCTTAAATATATTTCTAAAAATCCACAGCCAGCCAGAGTTCCAACCATTTAAAGCTCTATTTCTTAAAAACTTTACTTGTTTAATCGGGTCTGTCAGCAACTCCTGAGTTTAGCAGCTGCTGTTTCTTGAGGAGTGAGTGAAAAACCACCTCCTCTCTTTTAGAGTCTCATTTCAAAATAAAAGTTTGATTCTGGGGCAAATTCCTCAACAGAAGTTGAAAAATTGAAAGTGTCTCACCCAGATCCAAGCACACTGTTATTCCTTTGTCTCTTTTATTGCTCTTTCATTGGAGCTGTCACAGACTTGGTCCAGCCAGTTTAATAGCCACCTTCCACCTCCCCACCCAAGGTGGCTTAGATCCAGTTACGTCCAATATGATCCCCCTGGCAGGCAGCTTAGCATGGAGCCCTGTGAAAGTGTGCCGTTTTCATCACACCATCAGCTCTGCCACCAACTGACTCACATGATGATTGCAGTGTCCCAGAGTCATGTGATCCCCTTTTGCAAGCAAAGTTAATGGGGAAACTGGATTCACTTAACTATGTTTACTAATTTAAGAACTGCAATGATTTCACTTAACAAATGTGAAAAAAGTCGTAAAAAGGGGGAAAAGTCGCTTAACAAATTTCTCGCTTAACAACATAAATTTTGGGCTCAATTGTGTATAAATTGAGAACTACCTGTATTCATATGACCATTATAATGACCTGTCACAAACTTGAAATTTTATAAGGCTTAGGCCAAGGTATTTAATAGGGCTTATCAAAACACCTTTCAAAATAATGGAGAAAACTTGGCAGAATTTCACTAGGAAATTTACACTCATTACCTATACTATTTTGCTTCCCCTGCCTCTCCTTAATTTTTATTCATTCTTTTTATTTTTAAGAAAATAAGATGCAGGAGAACAAGGAAGGGTTCAGGGATAAAGAGAGAAGACAGGAGTTTGCACAACCAATCGAAACAAAAGAACACAAAAGAAATCTGTCAACAAATGAGAGTAACAGTAGCTCAACTTTCCCATCCACTGAAATCCAGGACTTTCTTCCCAGAAAAGATCAAAACGAAAAAATAAATGTGGAAATGTTTGGAGAGGACTCAGTTTCATATGAACATTATACAGTTCACACTAACAAAGAGGATCTATGCCAAAAGGATGAAAAATACTGCAATTGGACTTCTAACCTTTCCTTACGTGGTAAAGTCAACCTTGGAAATAAAGTATATAAAAATACAGAAATACATGGAAAATGTTTCAGTGACAGCAGTTCCTCTGCTCCCAGTGAAGGAATCGACTTAGGGGATCAACCGTATAAATAACTCTTTCAGGCAGCTTGATAATTTTAATTCCCATTAAAAAAAAACCACATGAAGGAAAACTTTATAAACCTTATAAACGTGAAGAGTGTGGAAAGAGGTTTTCCTGAAACATTCAACTGGCTTCGCATCAGAGAATCCATACACGGGAGAAGTCATATGCATGCATGCATAGAGTATGGAAAACCTTCAGATTAGTCACCACCAAAAGAGCCACACAGGAATGAAACCATATAATTGTATAGAATATAGAAACAGCTTTCCTCAAAATATTCAACTCATTTCTCAGATAAGACCCTACAAAGTGGTGAAACCATATAAATGTCAAGTGCACAGGAAGAGCTTTGCCTGTAACTTTCAACTGAATTCCCATCAAATGATCCATACAGGGGAGAATGGAAAGATATTTAAATTGATCCATGAGTTTTATTCCCATCAAAAGAGCCACATCAGTATGTACAAATGTATGAAAAGTGAGTATTTCCCTTGCCTTGCATAAAAGGATCCACCCAGGAAAAACCATGTAAGTGCCTGGAGTGTGAAAGAGCTTCAGTATGAACAGTACCTTTCAATACCGTAAAAGAATCCACACAGGAGAGAAACCATATACTGTAAATGAACTGAATGTGAAAAGAAATTGATTAGAATCGGCACCCTTACTTGCCATAAAATAATCCACATGGTGGAAACCATATGAATGTAAAGGGTGTGTGAAGATTTCAGTACTATTCCAGGAAATATATTTGGAGAAATTCTTTCAATGTTGCCCTTCATTCCTGTCCCTGGTGTGGTTAATGAGCAGGCAAATCTCCACCATACACTCCCTTGTCATCTGCTTAGCCTACAGATCCCATTCCAGACTACCAGTTTAAACATATCGAATATATATCTTCTGATTTAGCCAATATTAGAAACATGAATCTAGGATAATAACCCAGAATTCTCCATAGAAGGAATGACCTCTTAATTTCTTTTCCAGATTTATCGTTTCTCCCTCTCTCTCCAGCCATCTCAGAATTAGGCTCTGGATGATGGGACAAACCTTGTAGAAGGTGGCCAAGAAAATGTCACTAAGATGATACATATGTGCAAAGGTAAATTTGAGGGGGAATTTCCCCTTGCTTTTGAAAGAGTAAAGACCAAATGTGGATTAGCTGAGGTAATTACACCATTTGCATTACCTTGTCTGAAACCGACCATCGTGGCTGCCATCTTGACATTTTAACAACTTGTATGCATTCTGGTAAACAATGAGTTTCCCCCAATTATCCTCATTATTCAATTTTTCAAAGAATTATTTTTACACTGCCTGAAATTAGACAATTATTCCACCCTGGTTGCATTTCTGAGGTAATATTCTCCTTGAGCAATAAAAAAAAATACGTTTTCTTTAAGTATTTATAATTTTCTTCAGGGCTTCAATTTTTTACAGCTAACCCTTTCACCTCCTCCAGGCCACTCTCTCCTCCCATCCTGGATTTGGGGTAGCTTCTGAATAAAATGGGTTCTTATTCTTCAAAATAATTGCTGAGGGAAACCTTTTTGTGAAAAGTCATGAGGGCAAAAATCATTCAGATGTGCTTTTATTTTACCAGAAGGAAGACCAACTTTATGCTGCACTTCTGAAACCCTCTTCACAATATTATCATGTTCCTCATATGTGGATTTTTTTTTCTTCAGGATCCTTTGGAGAGAGGGTCTCTTTTCCAAGGCTTCATGTCCAGTCAAGGCTCAGTTTTGAATTAGTTCTTGACAGGGTCACCTATCGGAGACTCCATTTTCTCTATAGTCACTGAATCCAAGTTGAGGGTCTTGCTCTGCCTAAAATGTCCTACTTTCCAGTTTCTGTTCAGAGTGACTTTATTGAAAAGAGAAGCGCTGAGATGCCCGAGTGTCACCTCTTTCCTCCAGGGTATCTGGAGCTTTCAGGAGGGATGTGTGTGTTGTGCATGTATGTATGCTGGGGTTACGAACATAGCATTATGGGTGTGGCATACCTCTGCATGGCCCCCCTGCGCTCCCTCTGCTTTTGGCACTCGAGCCAAAAAAGGTTAGCCGTCACTGACCTAGATGGTTTGGGGTAATATGCTGAAAACTGCTTAGGTCTATAAGACACTGTGAAGTAGTATACAGGTAATCCTCAACTTACAACAGTTCATTTAGTGATAGTTCGAAATTACAACATTGCTGATAAAAGTGACTTATGACCATGTTTCACACTTACAACATTGCAGTAGCCACATGATCACATGACCAAAATCTGGATTCTTGGCAACTGACTCATATTTATGACAGTTGCAGTGTCCTGGCATGATAAGATCCCCTTTTGTGACCTGAGAAGTAAAGTCAATGGGGAAGCCAGATTTACTTACCCACCGGGTTACTAACATAACTGCTGCAGTGATTCATTTAAAAATTGTGGAAAGGTCGTAAAATGGGGCAAAATTGATTTAACAACACTCTTGCTTAGCAATATTAATTGCAGGCTCAATTGTGCTCCTAAGGCGAGGACTAGATGTATAACTGTGACTTAAGTGCTATTCGTTGACCATGTTCAGCAGGAGGCGCCCAGGGGCGCTCGGTTGATGAGCGTATAAAAGTGAATCCCCCTTCCCCAGTCAGGGAAAAGGCGCGGGCGTCGAAGCCCCGCCTCTGGGGAGGAGAGTCCTGTAAGGAAGGGCGGGGGCCAGCAGTTGCCATCAAGCTGTGGACATCCCATCCACTAGATTTGGGAAGGGGGCTCTGGGCGGACCATATGAGAAGGTGCCACCCAGAGGGAGCGCAGGGTCGAGGTTAGGCAGGCGATGGCGGCGCCGGGCATCTCCCCGGAGCAGCTGGCCAGCAGGCTGGCCGAAGCGGAGGAGCTCCTGGCGGCGCGCGTCTCCGAGCCGGTCCAGGCCCGCTGGCGCTGGGCGGTGAAGCTGGATGAGCCGCCGGACCTGGAGCGCTTCTGCGGGCAGCTGAGCCAAGCCCGGCGCGGCCGGGAGACTCTTCTTGCCCGGAACGCGGCGTTGTCGGAGGCTGAGCAAGAGCGGCTGCAGGGGCTGTTGCGGCTGGGGGAGGCTGCCTTGGGCGGGCTCCAAG